GACACAAGCCCATTACTTTAAGCACAGCACCAGAGGGTAGAAAACATGATAAACTATCATTCTTGCAGAGGTGGGCACTCTGTGGATCCTGCATGGATAGGTAGTTGGTTGTGAACTGCTGGGTGAGCAGTGTGGGTTTGAGGTTTACGAAAGTTCTGCCTTAATTCTCTTTGGAAGGGGGAAGTTGTTGCATTGATAACTTTTGCAGCATGGAGAACTTTACTTGTTCACCCAGCTCTGGCAGCAGCAACCCTTCTGTGATCATTTTAAGTTGCCATCATTTGGAGCTATGGAGATTTGGGGATGGGAAAACTGATAGTGGGAGCCTGGGTCATTGACAGGGTAGGTGAAGAGACAGTAGGCACACACAAGGGCTGTCATGCTTAATGATCATTCTCACTCATCTGGCTTGGCATCTCAATCTCCCATCAGCCTCAGCCTCCATTTTATTGAATAGAGGTGACAATATAATGTCTTGCCAAAAGTTGTTGCCTTCTTGGCTGCTCTTAAATGCCCATGTTGCAGCAATAACCAAGAGTGCTTTTGTCATTCGGAGTCTGTCAAAGCAATTGTGACCTTACCAGAGTCCACACCTCAGGGGAATTTCACCCCAACATGGATTACTGAAGTGCACCATGCTCAGGGCTACAACTGAAGACTGCTTCAGATTTCGCTAGTGTCACTGTGCTCTTGTTTAGCAGAGTTTCTCATGCAGAGTCTATGGCACCAAGTGTTTCTTACTCTGCAATCCCACTACTCTGTTCCCTCTGCTCCAATAGAAGTAAACCTTCAGCATACATAGCCAGATCCTGTCCATTAGCAGAGGCTTTTCCATGACAGGATGATGCATTAGGTGAAAGGGCTATGGGGAGGTCTTGCTAAATCTTTTAGTTAACAGCAAGCTCACTGAGTGCTAAGCATGTTCAATTAAAATCTTAGGAGATGAAATCCTTGCTGCAGTGAAGTCAACGGGAGATTTACCATACATTTCAACGGAGCTAGAATTTGACCCTTAAAATTGTATTCATGCACTTAGACAACATGTTAGATACCAGATACATTAATATTGTGATTTCCTATCATTATGATTGTAAAGCTTACAATGAAAATAGAAACTAAACTGACCCAGGTGAACCACCAATTTTGAATAGTTGATTTATGTATCTGATTTTAGGAGGCCAGGCCTAATCTAGGCAACAATAGTATTGGAGCAAACTCCCTGGAGCAAGGAGTTCTAATTGGTCAGAATCACGGCTTTGTTATGTAATCAAGCTCAAGTCACAAGCCCTTTCCTAGCCACAGGCCAACCTCATGAAAAACAGAAGTTACCCCAGAAGAAAATGTTCTTGGGAAAATACATTTAAAATAACAGCATGACTAGCTAGTTAGCTACTTTTGAACACAAAGATACAATCTGGATCTAATATGCACACAAAGAATGCATACATTCTTTGAAATATATTAAATATTTGCAGAAAAAATGGCACCACAGTCACTCTCAGTGTATTCAGTGCTATGAACGCTGCATATTCAAGAGAGAGCCAATATTCCAGTCAACTGGCAAAACCAAGAAAAAAAGAAACCAAAGCCCCAATCCTTCCCATAGTTTACAGAAGTGCCTCTTTGGGGAAAATACTCATCACCTCTCAGAGAATTACAAGGTAGAATGAATAATAAATGGATGGTTTGGTTCACTGGCAATTCCAAAATATATCTCTGAAGTTTTGTACTGGGTCAAACTGAAACTGACATTTTTCAAAAACTCTAGGTCAGCTGAAAAAGTTAAAAATTCCTCAAAAAGTTAAAAGTCAACACAAAAGGTTTCATTCAATAACAACATTTCAGTTTCGGGCATTTTGACCAAAAAAGAGAGAGAAAAGGAGGCGTAGAGTCTCCAAATTACTGTATGAGGAGAAGGAAGTGGTGGTGTCTTCCTTATGAGGGCACTCCTCTGAGGTGTAGGACACCAGTGTTCAATTCTACCCCTCCCTTAATCTGGAGAAGCAATTGCTGCATGGCTCTTCCATGCTGCAGGAGAGTGCCCTCACCACTGAGCTATGGGCTTATTGCCCATACTCTGGTATGGACTTTCTCCATCTCTCCTCTTGACACAGTTCCAATTTTCAGAAAGAATAAGTGTCACTAGAGCACAGAATTGAACTTGTGTCTCCCAAATCCTAGGGGACTCCCCTAATTTGTAGGTGGTAGAATTATTCTCACTCTCTTTACATATCTGCTGCTTTTCATAGTGTCAATTTATAATCATCGATCCCCACCATGCACATTTGCTGACTCTTAATCCTCCTTTTCTTTCATGAAAACGCCTGAAAAATCAAAATAAAATGTTTCGCTTCGATATTACTAACACATTTTGACTTTTTCGGTTCACTCAAAACTGTTCTGAGAACTTGACACAAATTTGCACATAGTTTCAATTTGCTTTTCATAGTGTCAATTTATAATCATCGATCCCCACCATGCACATTTGCTGACTCTTAATCCTCCTTTTCTTTCATGAAAACGCCTGAAAAATCAAAATAAAATGTTTCGCTTCGATATTACTAACACATTTTGACTTTTTCGGTTCACTCAAAACTGTTCTGAGAACTTGACACAAATTTGCACATAGTTTCAATTGACCCCAAACTGCTGTTTTCTGTAAGTAAACTATTAGCCTAAAAATGTTACCCAGGTAGTTGATCAAAGTCTGTTCATTTACTAAACATGCAACCGCACTTTGGGTTCATGGGATTGAATGCATGCAACTGTGAACAGAAATTGACTCCAGAAGTAATTGTTAGCCCAAGCAGCCATTTGCCTAGACTTCTAGATGAAACATAAGGCTGAAATTTGCAAAAAGACTAAGCAATGGGAGTTAGCCACTGAAATCTCATCCTACATAATTAGCAGCAACCAAACAATTTAAAAAAATAACAACAAATAAACAAAAACCTCAAAACACCAGTACAACCAGGGAAAACTAAACTTAAGTAAAAAAAAATGAGTTAAGTTTTCTGAATATGCTAAGGTTATACAAACAGATTATGATACTATCATTCAGTAGCAATCATCCCCAGAGTCTGACTTCTTGTTGTCTGAGTGGAGATCAATCCAGTATTCCTTGCTCATCCAAAACTGATTACACTGGCATGTTAGGGAGGTTCAAGGAATAAAGGAACTTACACTGTGGTTGTGATCCTGTACATGGATTTTTATATGTAGGTTTTTGCAACCTTGTGGAGGCCCACTAAAATTACTGGTGTACTGCATGGCTGCAGAGATCCATACATATGGGCTGTGTCTAGACTACATGGCTCCATCGACGGAGCCAGGTAGATTAGGGTTGTAGGCAAAGGGAAATGAAGCGGCGATTTAAATAATCGCCGCTTCATTTAAATTTAAATGGCTGCCGCGCTGAGCCGACAAACAGCTGATCAGCTGTTTGTCGGCTCAGCGCGGCAGCCATTTAAATTTAAATGAAGCGGCGATTATTTAAATCGCCGCTTCATTTCCCTTTGCCTACAACCCTAATCTACCTGGCTCCGTCGATGGAGCCATGTAGTCTAGACATACCCATGGATCCAATTGCAGTCTGGGCCTTCACATGTTATGAATCTGAGGATCTATGCATTTTAAAAATCCTAAAGGAAGAAATTAGTGATTTTTACATTTTCACCACCCCAAAGAATATGCTGTTTAATTCTAACTCCTTCTCCATTTTTCTAGTCACCACCTCATCTGGAGAGGAGTAATAAAATAGAAAAGTGCATGCCAAAGTCTGGTCAATAGAACATTATAATCAGAGATAAAAACTCATTTGTTACAGCATGATTGTCCTGCTTGCTATGGACTGAAGGGATTTGTCACATTTAACAACTTTTCAAAGTGTTTATTAGTTTCACAGCACTTACAAAACCACAACAGCTCTGAATCAAATACACATGCCCCTAAGTTTCCATTTTCCTGAGAACACATAATGCATAGTGTTAACTTTTCCAACACCGATAGTTTTCAGTTTCCTGATTATATATACTATACTGCATTGAAACTGGATTGTTCCCTTTTATCTGGGAGAAGCTCTCTGCTCTGACCTCCGCAGGGAGTTGCTACTGTCACTGAGGGAGAAGTGCTTCTCCCTCCCGCCAAACAGCTCTATGTAAGTGAAAGAGTCCTGAGCCCCTGGCAGGGGAGGCTCATTAAGCAGCTGCGGGGCTGTGCTGCCGTGTAGCTTAGAGGGAACTCTTGTTCTCCAACAAAAATTATCAATAAAACATTTTCATACTTTTTAAAAAAAAGTCCATGCTTGTCAAGAAAGACATAAAACTACTAAAAATCAAAGAAAACAGTTATGATTTGCTCTGCACTGCTGGCCTTGAATCCATAGAACATGGCAAGGAACCTAACATAACTGGCAATACTCAAGGTCCTTTGTGCATGACCTAGCGCATTTAACAGCAGCAACAAAGAAATACACATTTTTTTCCCTCATATTAAGCAATAATCAGGAATTATTTCATCATAGTGAATTGTGACCAAGCTGTATTAGACCATGCAATAGGTTTCCAAAGGAATCTCATTACTTGGTTTATTTAAAATTGGACAGAAGCACTAGAAGTAGTGTGATGGGGACCAATCCCATAGTGGAAAAAGGCTGGACTAGATGATTTAATAGATATTTTCCATCTTTGGTTCCAATGATTTCAGTTAAAAAACTAGTCAATCAATGATAATGCTGTGCCAGTTAGTTATTTGCTCTAGAATAATACATTTTTTACAACTGATGCACAACAGAGTGTGAAACAAAGAGAAACAACCAACACTGGAATGTCTGATAATTGACTATTTTTAAAAATCTGACGTTGGTTATCCATGCCCAATCTCCTCTAAAACTATCAGTGAGTAAATGAGTAGCTTCAGAGAGAATTCATCCTATGGTATTTATTCTCATTTCTATATTTAGCATCTATTTAGGCGATATACACACATTAGGATCACATGCATACACTGAAAGATTATAATGAGTAATAGATTCCATGCAATAGGGCTGTAGTGCATCTTTGGTCTGAAAAGTTGGTCATTAAAAAGAAGAGAGACAAAGAAAAGGTTATCATCTATGAACAGTCAAAGCAAAAAGGTACCACACAAATAAAGAGGGAAAAATGTTATTTTACTTGTTTTTTGTTAGATCTAAATGATGAATTGTAAACCACCATCCTTTTAAACATCTCTTTTGGCTGCAAAAGAAAGAAAATTGCCAAAGCAAACATTAATTTTGTTCTGTAAATAAAGATCAACCAACCTCTCTCTTCTCATCCTTGTCATTTATAAAGGGTCTGACTTAATCTTACATTTAGTAGTACTAAATCCATTAAGTAAATAATTAATGGACATTTCCATGTAATGAAATTTCTGAAAATCATTTTGTTTATCATGCTTCATTCTCATCCCTAAATTTTCCTAGTGACCTGCTGAGTCTGCGCTATGCAATTCGCACTCAAGTCAGTGGAAATCCTTTTAATGCAATGAACTTGGCCAATGTTCAGAAAATATACAGGTGAATGACAACAGAGTATCTTAAAAGTCCTCTTTGCCATCACTCATCTTGCAGGTTGAAATCCACTGACGATAAAATTCTTCTGAGGAGCTGGTAATTGGTGATGAAGGGTTTCTCCCTGGGTGGAGGTGTTCTTCAAATGTTTTTGCTTGATAAATTATTTCAATCTATGCACGGAATTCTGAGGTCTGTTTCTGGGGAAGAATTCTACTAAGAACCAAATGCTGCTCATTTTACTTAAATGAAGAATCCCATTGACCTACTTAAGGTTATTCACAGGAGCAAGTCAAGCAGGTGCTGTCCTTATTCTATTTTACCTCGACTGGATTGCTTAGCAGCACTTGTTATTGGTTAAATGAGATTTAACCACCTAATGCTTTAGTGTCTTTCTGACACAAAAATGCAAATACAATTTTCATGCTAAATCTGTGCCTCTTCATATATTAAGTATTCCCAAACTAGATGAGGTCAATCTTTCCACCTTGCTTTTATGATCCTACTTGTGGTTTTTCACAAACTCATACACAGGGCTGCCAACTAGGAGCAAAAGGGTCAGCTGTCCTAGGGCCTGGTGATTTAAAGAGGACTGGGGTGCCCAGCTGTCACTACTGCTACCATGGTCCTTTAAGTCACCACCAGAGTTCTGGATAGTGTAGGCCAGCCAGTGCTGAAGAGATGTCTAGGGGAGGCACTGCACTGTGGCAAAATCAAGTAAACCTAGACCATCCTTGGCAGATGTTTGTCTGAGTTTTTATTTAAAGCTTCCATAAAGGAGGACTCCATGACCTCCCTTGGAAACCTGTTCCAGAGTTTACCTACTTTATAAAGACTTTTCTCAAATCGAATGTAAATCTCCCTTGCTGCAGATTAAGCCCATTAATTCTTATCTTACCTTCAGTGGACATAGAGAACAATTGATCATGGGCTTCTCTATAACAAGCCCGAATAAGAGTGTTTCAAAATTTAGTTCCCTTCCTTGTCTTCTTTTCTCAAGACCAAACAAATCTAGTTTTTTAAAATCTTTCTTCACAGCTCAGGTTTTCTTTTATCATTTTTGTCACTCTCTTCTGGACTCCTTCCCATTTGTTCTCAACTTCCCTAAACTGTGGTGCTCAAACTTGCACTCAGTAGTCCAGTTGAGGCCTCACACTCATCGAGTAGAGTGGGATAATTACCTGCTGTGTTACAGACAATATGCCTGTTAATGCACCCCAGAATCATACTAGCCTATTTTGTAGCTGCAGCACGATGACTCATTCACACTGTGATCTACTATAATCCCCAGATTCTTTGCTTGCAGTGCTACCTGCTAGACAGTTATTCCCCATTTTGTACCTGTGCATTCAATTTTTTCCTCCTTAGGTGAAGTACTTTGCACTTGTCTTTATTGAAATTAATCTTGTTGAATTCAGACCAATTCTCCAATGTGTCAGGGTCATTTTGAATTTTAAATCTACTGTCCAAAATGCTTGCAATCCCACCTAGCTTGGCGTAATCTGCACATTGAATAAACACACCCTCTAGTTCATTATCCAGATCATTAATGAAAATAGTGAACAGTACCAGACGCAGGACAGACTTCTGTGTGACTCCATTAGGTACGCCCTCCCCATCTGACAGCAAGCCACTACATGATGAGATTGATTTACCTATTTCCTTATGTATTCTTGGGTGAATTTCAATAGCGCTGACAACTTGAATATCTCAAACTTATTTAAATATCCTTTAACTTTCCCTAATCTGTCTTGCATTCCTTCCTTTGGTTGTCAAAATGAATTGCATTGAGTATCTGGTCATCATTGACCTTTTTAGCAAAGACTGATGTAAAATAGGCATTAAGCACCTTATCTTTCTTGATGTCATCAAGTTATAAACTCTCCTTCCCCACTAAACAGAGGACCTACACTTTCCTTCATTTTTCTCTTGCTCCTAATGTATTTAAAGAATCTCTTCTTGTTGCCTTTTATGTCTCTTGCCAGGGACTAATTGTAACAAATTTTTTGCCTTAGCCTTTGTTTTGTCCCTGCATATCTGTGCTGTTTTTTTATACTCCTTCTTTTCAATATGACCACATTTCCACTTTTTGTAGGATTTTGTGTAGCAAAAAGTCACTAAAAAAAGAATGAGGTCTGTTACACTTCCTCCTCAGTGTTAGCCAATGAGGATAATGAAAGCTCTATACTTACAAATTCTTTTAGTCCCCAATCATGTTCAAATTTAAGTAAAACATCACAGCCAAACCACTGCCTTGTTTTTTTAAGTATTCTCAAACTATGATGAAGACAACCTGTTAGCACTGATTTTGTGTGCATACTTGTAATAGATTTAGTGTTATGAAAATAATGATGCAAAATGTATTCAAATATGTTGACCCCAATTAAATTATGCACCCTTGCTTCAGGCTTCTAGGAAAGTAGCATTTTGTGGGTTGGATACTGATCCAGAACCTAAGAAACAGGGAAGACGCTACATCTGTTCCAGAGAACGAGGTAGGAAAATGCATGAAAATGTTCAAAATGTAAAAACTTTGAATGTTCAGAACATATGTCACTTACTTGCACCACTTGTTCAAAGTAGTAAATAATTTACTGACACTTTGTGGCATTTGTGTCTTTTTATTGTTGGTGTTGCTATCTATTTTCAGTGTTTAAATCTGGGGTCTGTTAGACGGCAACACCTATATAGTGTATAGCTATTTTAAAATATGTGTATTTGGGTCTCCATGACTGCAATATGGAAATAGCTGTAAGATTATGAGGGTCCAATATGAGTGTTAATATGGTAGTTTCTATATTTTCCTGAACTCAGTACAATCCTTACTGATTTTATGCTCAGAGTACGATATGCATGCTAATAAAAAAGTCTATAGTTTGGAATAATTTCACACTGAGTGCTATGTGACATTACAAAGATTTTGTGATAAAACATAATGAAAAAAATCTACTAAATTAGGGGAAGAGACTTGAGTCTTCTTTTAAGAATGTCCCCCTCAGAGGCTAAGGCTATGTCTAGAGTATGGCGTTTTTCAGAGATACCAGAGGTATCCCAGAAAAACTCTGCTACGTCCAGGGAATGCGTCTGCTCTTCCGCTCTTTTTTGTGGAAGAGCAGATGTGCTCTAGTCCCGAGGAAGAAGGGCTCTTCCGAAAGAGGAAGTTTTTCTGAAATTTGGCCCAGTATAGACAGGCTAAATTTCGGAAAAGTCTCTTAAGGGAGGTGGAGACATAGCCCTGTAGCTCTCCTCAAATATGAGGTTTTGACTATGGATATCTCCATATTCCCAGTACTGTTTTTCACTGCAACAACACACCAGAGTTCTCTGTGCCCAATTGTGTGCTGCTCCTCCAGTAGTTGTTGCTGTAGGCTCTATAGCACAGCAGAGGCAGAATTTTCCCACTGCATTTTGCCATATATGGGCACTGAAGCCTACTCTCACGATTTACATTCACATGTATTTCTCTGTCCATCAACTGCAGTAATTGAATTATTCTTGAGGTAGATGGAAGACTTGGATTTTCTGGGCTGAATCCAGTTAATATGAAAGATACAGTGACGTGGCAATAAAAGACCTGGGCACAGCTCGGATCAGCTGACTTGGGCTCACAGGGCTCAGGCTCTGGAGCTAGAAATTGCAGTGTAGATGTTTGGGCTGGAGCAGAAACCAGCCTGAGCCCAAATGTCCACAATGCAATTTTTAGCCCCTCAGTCCAAGCCCAAATCAATTGACCAGGCTTCTGAGACTTGGTGCTGCAGATTTTTAAAGCAGTGTAGGCGTACCTGATGACTTAAATAAGAATAGATAGAGAGACAGCTTCTTCTGCTTGGAAGACTCTTCCCTTGCTTACTGGAAGACATTTGTTCCTCAGTTGGGCATTTTATTTTCTTGCTTTTATGGGCTGCCTAGTGAATAGTTTCCTTCGCTCAAATCCAAACCTCTTTTTAACAGTCAGAACACAATTCAATGAATGCCTCAAAAAGCATTCTCCAATGACTGATTTGCACAACTTTTTATCTTAGATAGAAACAAGGTGGGTGGACGTAGGGTAGGTTGTACCATATATAGAAACAGGATGAGAGAAGCTTTCTAGGTCAATGTGCAAGAAAATATAGTAAGGCACTGGCAAAAGACAGGTATTTTGCCTTTGGCGATTTAATTGAAGAGGCTGCTGACTTAGTTCTGTTCCTGAATCTGTAAATCAGAAAGGATGACAAACAGGATTCCCTCAATGTGAAACAAATTTATATGATTTTTAAAGACTTTTTAGGAGAGATGATGGAGTAAACTCTGCCTGCTCCCTCTTGATTACACTATTTAAATATTAAAACCCACTTTACAATGTACTTCAACCTTACCTGTGGACACACAACCATGACTAAGTCACAATAGGAAGTTATAATGTGGAATTACAAATGCAATTTATAAAATAATTTGCTTTGAAAATCGTATCAGAAGAACATTTGCTCCTATATCCATGAATTCTCAACTAATAATATAAAGCAATTTTAGAATAAAGGAGATTCACACCTGCAACATTATAACAGCTTTGTGATCTGGAAAACATATGTATATGCATAACAAGTCATGACAAAGTTTTCTCTGGAGGTGATTCTTGTTTCTAATTCTTCAAGACTAATTGTAAGCAATAGATATGTAATAGGATACTATGCTTTTTGCAAAGCGATGGTTTTACAATTTATGTCACATTTTCTTCAGAAGTTAAATTACATTAACTCTGGACTATCATTTTGGTCTTTTTTCATGAGCAAATTCAAATTGCTTGGGATGCTGGTAAATGATTGAATTATTTCATTCATTCCAAACTAAAATGAAATGTTCATGTGTATAATTAAATGAAATAGCTATATTCAGAGTCTTTTTACCCATTATTAAAAGACAGTCTTGCTTCCTAATGCATAGGCAGGAATTAATATTGATCTTGTAAAAATCAGCTCTCTTTGCATATAGTAATTTGAGAACATGTATAATAAGGCAGTTCTAGACTGAACGTGTCTGACAAAAACTGATAATTAAACGGTATCTGTTTTCACTGTAATGTTGAAAACAGAGGAACAAGAATCACTATCTTATTAAAGCAAAACATTCTGAATATTTTAATAAATGGCAATTGTTGATAATAAGGAAGTTAATTTTTAGGACACTGGAATTCATAACACAGGCTTGTAATTCAAGATTTTTAATTGTGGATGCAATTTATTTTTCACCAATAAAAATTCTTTTTATTGACATCTGTGGGTATTGGATCATAGCCTATCACACTAGCCTCACTCACGTATAGGCAAAATTGCATCCATTCAAAAAATGTAGTCAATGCGATTGTTCTAGTAAATAGCTGCTGCTAATGGTCACAAATCTAGGCCATTGATTCTTACTCAGACAGAACCTCCATTGACTTAATGATAATTTTTCTTGAGTAAAGATTTAAAGATTGTCCTTATTTTCCAAATTACTAATGATCTATTATGCTCCCAAAAGGCCAAACTATGTAGTCACTAAAACAACAAAATTCCAGGGAGCAGTGCAAGATTTAGCCTAAACCCTTTCATTCTAAGGCTGTGTCTAGACTACATGCCTCTGTCGGCAGAGGCATGTAGATTAGACAGATCAGCAAAGGCAAATGAAGCCGCGATTTAAATGATCGCGGCTTCATTTACATTTACATGGCTGCCGCGCTGAGCCGACAAACAGCTAATCAGCTGTTTGTCGGCTCGCGCGCTAGTCTGGACGTTCCCCCTGT